GGTGTGGGTGTGGGTGTGGGTGTGGGTGTGGGTGTGGGTGTGGGTGTGGGTGGGTGTGTTAAGCTACCATGATATCGATATTCTCACCTAAGCAACTAGGATCATCAGATGGCACTCGTAACGATAACCAAAATTCAATGCGAATTTTGTTCGAAACTAAGTTAAATCTTTTTGTTCTCGAAAGAATAAAAGATTAAATCTACAGATATTAGCGGAAAAGTTTTTTGAAATAAGTAAGGTGGACCTATAGCTTCCCGAAAGAGGTAGTTTTTAATTAAGTATATAGGTATTTTAGAATAATTTAGGCTGTTTAAAGAAACATAGATATTCTTAAATGAGATAATGTTCAGTTCACGATATGGCTTTTGTAAAGATATTCAGATATTTAAGAAATGGTTTTTTCATAGGGTTAGAGGTAGTAAAATCCATGGAGTTATCTAAAGTGTCCTTTATCTATCCTAAATTTCAAACTGTACTTGAAAACTCTGTAGGTATGTTTTGTTGATGCAGCATTTTTGTATAAAACGCGGCTATGTAAAGTATATTCTCTGTGAAAGAGGTCAGAAATATAATGCATGAAAACGATTTCATCTTTTGTAAAAGTCTTTTTGGACTGTAGCTTCGTAATTATGTTTCTCTAAGACTGTTTGATTAGTGGCGCAAAAGTCAATTTGGATAAATAGTCGCTATACTTCTGAGTGCTTTGTAGACGAATATTGCTAGAGAAAAATTAAAAAATCTATATGAAGAATGTATGGAGGTGGATCAAGGATCCTTCTGAAATAAAAAGTAACGGAAAATAACCTATAGTATTTAGGAAGCTAGGAATAAATAAATTTGTCTGCGTATTAAAGGCTACACTAAAAACAAAGTAATTTCCTTTGGAAACGACCACATTTTGTAGGTGAACAAAAGCAAGATTACTTGTCACATTGTTTCCCCTTGAAATTAATTTTATGGAATATATATATTCTTTTACTTTTCTGAGTTATATATCCTACTAGTATGGTATTGTGTTGTTACATAAATAATTTCTTGAACTGTCCCTATCTCGCCACATACCATTAAAATACGATGCAGTATATAACTTATATATATTTAGAAAAATTTAAAACGAATTTTACTCACGAATAAATAGTTTGTTTATTTACAACCTTTTAATTACCTATGATATTCTTATAAAAAGTAGATACGGATAAGTTCAATATTTTCAGTAATTAACGACGTAATACCATCATTAATTTACGGCTTTTCTCCGTGAATTCTGCTGGATTGTATGATTAATAGATGCGCATAGGTTACATAACTTACATATATGTAAAAAATAAATGCAGTTTATCAGTATGAATTATTTAATACTTCTAGTAGCTACTAAATATTTTATTTCTCTTACCTGATCTATTAAAACCATTGTATATAATGCAAAAAGTAAAATCGTATAACTGATTTTCGCTAAACAATGCTAAATCGTTTAATAAAAAAAATTACAAGCTACTTCATCATTTAAATTCATTTCGAAATGATATTAAAATAATATGACGCTTTTTCGCTTATCAGACCCTGCTCAATCATACCATACAGAAGTACAAGCTAGTACATAACTCATATATATTGTACAAAAATAATAAAATGGTATAAATTTATTTTTTCGTCAATCCCTGCTCAATGACATGATAAAGAAAACAAGCTACTTCAGAGTTCAAGTACATTTGAAAACCACAGTAAAATCGTTTAAGCATTCAATATCAGAACACTGTTCTAAACGGCGAAACAAAATTCACTAGGTGTATATGAACATTAAGCGACTACTCAAAGACCAAATAGACATAAAAATCAATAAATACCACTATCAAAAGCCTAAGTAGCTCAAAAAAAGTTTACATAGTAATAGAGACATTAAGAAGCTGCACATTGATATAAAACAGCTGTTCGATAATTAAATAGCTACAGAAACATTAAATTGCTCTCTCTAAAGATTAAATAGTTGAAGAAAAGTTTAAATAGTCATTGAGAAATTAAATAGCTATAGACTAGAAAGAAAGATCGATTCTAAGATTAAATAGCTATTGAAGAATGATATAGCTATATCTAAAGAATAAATAGCTGAAGAGTAGTTTAGATAGTCATGGAAAAATTAAATAGCTATAGACTAGGGAGAAAGTTCAATTGTAAGATTGAATAGGTATGGTAGAATTAAATCGTCATATATAAAGTTTAAATAGCTGTAGATAAAACATAAATGAAGGGTATATAACAAAAAAATATCTCTTTTGAGAATGAACCATCTGGAACATTTTATCTGATATATATTCCTTATGACCTGGAATAGCAAATGAAAATACAAGTTGTCTAGGTATCAATAATTAGTTAGAAAAAGAATTCTTTTGTCAAACTGTGACAATAGTTTTTGGTCGGGAAAAATCCAGATATCTCTACACTTTCTCAAATAAAATAGGGAAGACAAGAAAGAGAAACCTAAAATGAATAGCATTTACACTATTAGTTATAGGCTGCAATATGACCGGTGTGAGAGCTATCTTAATCATCTGGTTCACGTATAGCAGACGGAAGAAAGTGATGATGTAGGATGGGCTAATAATTTTTGGACTTACTATAAGTCAGTTTATTTGTTTTAGATAATTCTAATCTTCAAAGATTTACCAAATTACGATCACTTTCATCTCGTTATGTTTATATCAATGGATTGTTGACTGCAGTCATCTTAACTCTAACTTATTGTCATCTTCCACATTTGGCTTCTACATGTAGTATCCAATGCTTCTCCGATTACTATAGTGAAACTCTTGCTGATTTTATGCACTATATTTGGGCACTAGTGAAACTCACAGGTTGTCTATTAGGCCTTAATGTTATCTGTAACGAAAACATTTGTATGCTAATACTCCGATCAAAATCTATTACATATGCATTGATTCGCCATATTAAGTTAGGTCTCAATCAATTTATTTAATCAATTAGAAATATAGCAAGTATTCGCTGTCCGTATATATTTATCTGACTGTTAATGGGATGGCTAAAAATTAAAATCATTGGTTCAATCTATAGCTATACGAAAGCCTCTTTTTTCTAATGCATTTAATGAAATGTTTAATATGTAAAAAAAACATACTGAATCTGTTTTCTCCAATCATCGAAGCATTTAGTATCATGATTAATGTCAAAAACAAATTACTTGCGAGTATTAACCCAAGCTTGAAGTACTTATCTCCTATATGAACTATCAACTATGTGATGGTGATGATAAAGAAGAAAGAATTACTTATTTATTGGATATGTATCCCCTACTTTATAAAAGCTCATCGATTGTGCCTACTTTGTTCAATACCAAATGACATTACAGGACGTCAACAACTGCATTTTTCTCTACAGTCTACCTGATTTCGTGTATTATTTTCTGATTCAACCATCAAACTGCACTACTCACACAAAATCAACAAGTCTGTCAAAAGCTGATTATTGGTCTAAATATTATGCAAATTATATCTAGAATGAAGATTGACCCTATTTGATTTATCTAATATTCACATAACGTATTTGTTAAATTTTCAAGAACTACATCTACCATTACCTTTTACTGGTCGTTTATTGTTCGACTAGCCACAATTCGATTTATAACCAAAAAGTTGATTTTCAAGAACGAGACGAACCAATTGTAGAATTGTATCAATAGTCATACCTAGTATCATATGGCCGGGTATAAAAGTATTGAAAAAATTTTCTTAAACATTTATAGCTTGTTCATGTGAAAACCTAATACATAAATCATCAATATTAAATGAAGCGAACTTCGTCGTTGGTTGAAGCTGTCCCTTCTCCTGGTAAAATTCCAAAACATGTATCAGTTCAACAGGTTTTTTAAGTTTTTGACAAGAAATTGCTTGATTAAATAGTTCATTAAGAAGAGTGCCAAGAAACGGGTAATATTCATTGTAGGTCCATCATTGCAAAGCATGATTGGTAGAACTAATACTTCTTCCTATAAGTATCAAAGTAGGAAATAAATAATAAATGCATTTAAAAAAAAAGAAACGAGAAATGTAGTATACTTTATACGTTTCTGAGACAAAATACATATAATTCATTCACACCAATCTTCGATCTATTTTCATCTTCATATATTGGTTTTCAGTGATGAAATTTGTATGATAAAAATTTTCCAATGTTGTTTCTACACGTTTGACTATTTTAGCTAAATATTTTTGACTTGCATTTGGAAACGAATAACTGAATTAAAAAACCAATGTATAAATGTCTGATTATCTGATAAATTGGATTACCTTTTCATAATAAGTATCATGTGAATCTAAATAATATCCAATACCCTTATAAATTGGTCGTAGGATAAGATTGTTTTCTCTTTAATTGACGACGAAGGGACAAATATTTTTCTTCATAAGAGTAAGCTTCTCGATGATCCTATCGATTGGTTGATTGATCCTTGAGAGATGAAACAAAATTGGGAAACGTGGACTAGTCCTGATTTTTCAACGTGTTTGCTTCTTCGCGATGATGATCATGACTTATTTCATTGTCTTTGTCATCTTCATCTTCAGACGAAGACAATTCTTTTTCATTCATTTTATTGTCTGATCAGCTTAATGCAGGAAATAACTGGTCACTTTCTTCTTTCAAATCATCATCGGTTGAAAATTCCCTTGTACTTATGGAGTCATTGATTTGTTCAGCCATTGGAGTGAATAAAATTGAATCACAATTGTCTATAGTACTTCAGTATCTAAAATACAAAAGTGAACATAAACGTATACAGAACAGAAGAAGATCGTCGATTGTAATAAAAGTTGTATATGTAGTATATCACAAGAAATCTAAGAACCAAAGTACCCAATTTTCAGAACAGCAATTGACTATGTGTTACATCTCCAAATGATGTTTGTGAAGAAGAAAAATTAAAACATACCCTTCAGTATTCCGATGCCTTGTAAACAGTTGGTGATGGCAGTAGAAACTGAAATATTATCTAAAATGACACAGATTTTTTGATACATATTATTCTAAATATTGATAGTGTATCGTTAGATGTGCTGAGTATTCTATTCATATAATGTCTATGTGAAAAACAGCAATAACGAAAAAAAAAAGAACACAATTAAGAACTAGAAAAAGTGATATAACTAAGAGAGGAAACAGTAAATATGGTTCATGCTGGTCGAATGTTCAATATTTTATGAGCATCATTGTTTTTTTTTCGTGTTTATCCGACGGCATGTTATGTATTGGATTCAGTTTTTGATGTCGATTCTAGAACATATAAGAGAAGTAGGTATTGTAATAGTCGTAAGAATACAATAGAGAACATATGAATCTATTCGTAACGCGACGACTCTTACTTTGCTGTTGTTTTAATGTAAGATATTTGAGAGGTGGTCGTTTACGTGCTAATTCACGTTCAGAATTCGGATGATTTCGATAACCCACAATCAATCGAACAGCTTCTAAACCATAACCTTCAAAAGCTTCACGAAAAATCTTATGCATATCTTTTTTCATAGTGGAAAATCGCATTTCATGTGTATAGTGTATAATCATTGCGTCACGAAAACTGTTGTTTTTCGATTTTTTTGTATCGGTTGTTCTTGTTTGAACAGGTTGTTCCATATGAGATTCTTCATTGTTTTCTTTGAATTGTGTAATACGTGCTTCGATTTGAGAAGATCGAGCAGTTGGTTGATTCATATATTCTTTGCGTAATTCAATAAATTTTTCTTCGTTTTCAATTGTTGGTAGAATTGAATTTGATGATATGTAATTTCCTAAGATTTTCCGAAATTCTCTATCAATATATCCGGTTGGATAACTAGAAAAATGATATCATGAATACACATAAAACTATAAATATATTATCATAGACGTGAAATTCTTACCCATTAAATAATAACATCAATCTGACACCACGTCGTTCAATATTAAAAGCTTCGAAGTTTGATGAATATCGGATCGCTCGAACAAGTGCTGTTTGTATAATATTTGGAAATGTATATCGTGGATGATCCGAAAGAAATGGAACAACATATGGTTCAGCTGATGGTTTATGATAAACAGATGTATGAAGAGTTCCATTAGTATTAGTCAAGAGTACATCCAAAAATGAAACACTCTTTCCAATATTCGATTCTAATTTTATATTTGGATGCCATCCATTGGCATCCTGTAATAATTGTTGAACTATTTCAATGGATTCATTCGATGTAAAGAAGACATCATCAATATATCTAGATTTAGGAATAGAAATAGCAGAATATATATATATATATATAAAGATATTAAGATCTCACATACCGGCCATAGATTTCTTTCTTACTATTTTGTCGTCGAATCCAACGTTGTTCCCAATGCCACATAAATATATTGGCTAGAGTTAATGTAAATGGAGAACCCATCGCACCACCAATAATCTGTCGGTAGAATTTATGATCGTAAACAAAAGCATTTTCTTTGACAACAATTTCGGCCAATTTTTGAATAGTCTCAACCGAGATATTTTTAACTCTTTTACCAACATATGTATGAAGAAATTCACCTAGAATTCGAATGGATTCATCTTGTGGCAACATGGTATACAAGTTATTGATATCAAAAGTACAGAAAAGAGTCGACGGTTTAAGATAACCATCAGCAGCATATTTTTCGACACGTTTGATAAGATTTACACCATCAGTAATTGTATTCTCTTTATTATATTGATCATAGATAGGTTGAATCAATTCATTTAAGAAATCAGAGATAGATCTGGTTACTGATTTAATAGTATTCAAAATAGGTCGTAATGGTGTTCCTTCCTAAACAATAAAAAAAAAAAGAAAATTACATACTTAAGGCAATCATCATTGATAAATTATCAAAGAAGATTATTAACCTTATGTGGTTTTGGATTAAAATACATGTAAGATAATTTGACTTGATCCCCTTTCGGCATTAGACGATTATAGTCCTTGAGTGTTAATTGCTTATTATTCTTGAGAACGTCAAGTGCATTTTTTACATTAGTGAATATTTCCTTCAATGGATTATATGATAATTCTTGATAGGCTTTTGTATCTTCACGATATTTAGCTGCTTTTCTTTCATAATCACTTTTGCTACCAATATGAAAACCACCACCTTTATCGCAGATACGTATAATAAGTTTCGCATGTTGTGCTTTATGTCGAATAGACTTAACCAATTTGAATTCTCGTTCAGCGCGCATGCGATCAACATAGGATAATGGAGCCATATAATGTTGTTGAAGTAAATTTTCAACTAATTCAGAATAATGTTTTATTCTTGGGACTGGTGGTTCTCTACGACAGTAGTTCGTTAATTGATTTTTAACTTTCGTAGTGATATCTTTCAGATGATGGTCTATTTGTGTTTCGCGATGTTTCAACTTACGAAGAGCACTTGGATTAGGTCGAGCATAATTTGGACCTATGAAATGTAACCGTAGATAAAATTATCAATCGAGAATGAGAATCATAGATGTGTCTTAATATACTTACCTAAGGATAAGTGAGATAATTCTTCGGGTTTATAAGGACAATAAAGAACATCAACAATCACTTCAGGTGATACGCCGACCATTGTCTTGGTAGCTGATGATTGTTGATAACGTTGAGCAATGATCTGTCGAAAGTGACTTAATTTATGAAATATATTATCAATAGCTGTTTGAGTATGATGTAACATATAAGCTTTGAAATAGTTGATTAAAGATATGCCATTGATTTGAATTTCAGTAGAAAATTTTTGTAATTCTAATTGATTTAAATTTTCTTTATACTGTACTTGATATTCATTGACTTTATATTCATAGGCAGCATAAAACAGATTTAGTAAATTACGTTTTTCTCGTTTTAAGATTGTACGATGTTTTGTTCGTATATTGACTAGTGTCTGATCAGTAATTGGTGGCCAATAAAAATCCGGTGCTGTAATCTTTTCAAATTGATCAAAATTCGGTGGTAGAAACTGATGTAAAATACGTTGTTCAAGCATCATAAATTCTTCGTAAACTTGCAATTGTGTCATTCGTACATGAATGATCTGTTCAAGCATTTGTCGTTGAACAGTACTGAGATTGTAAGAAAACAAATCTCGATACAATTTTTCATGACGAAGTTCATCCTTAAATTTCATTATTTTATGTTGTATACGTTCGACTAAATAGTTTTGTTGTAAGGAGACATAATTTTTTAAACTTGTATCCATAATATCTAATGGTGGTAATAGAGTTGATATCGGTGGTTTCGTTTGTTTATCCAATTCCATATCGCATTGCTCTAATTGATCATCGGTAATAGCTAATTGTGTCATAATATAATTTTCACATAGATCTGCTTGATTGGTTTTGACCATTTCATATAATGAACGCTGCAATAAATTAATCAGCAAGAGAAAATTTAAATGACATTCACAATTTCCTTATCGTAGTGAACTTACGGGCCATAATTTTTCTTCGTGACCAATATCTAAGTAAGATTGCCATAAACCTTGATCAAGTTTTAGACGATATCGACGATCTAATAATTGTAAGCGCACATGAAGAAATATTCGTTCATCTTTTTTATTTATTACACAATTAAATTCTTGTCGTAAGGTTTGAAAGATTAAATGTGGTAAATGAGATAAATAAGCCGGTAATCTAATAGGTTATCATAATACATTAGCTTAACTAAATTATTTACGTAAGGAAAAAGATAAACGATGACTTACGGATAATTCATATTCACACTGATACTATCGGATGGGATTGATTGGATGAAAATGGTTCTTTTCATTTTTTTGCGTGCTGCTGGACGAAGACTTACATTACTTGTCGATGGAACCAAATGATAATGAAGTTCAAATGAAGAAATATCTCGTTTACGTTTCTTTGCAAATGTAGTAGATTTTTCCTGTTTATTGTGAATTTCTTGTTTTTTCTAGGAATACAAGAGTAAGCATTTTGTGATTTATCACACTTTCATCAGTTATTGATCAGCACTTACTGGTTTCGGTTCTGATGTGACCGGAACTTCTGTTGGAGGAGCATTCGTTGTAGTAGTAACGTTTTTCGATTGTTTTGATTTTTTCTTTTTCTTCACAAATTTCCCTGACTTAATCATTTTCTTTATTGCTTCGTCACTAATGCCGCGATCACGTCGTCTCCGACTGAAACGTTGTAATTTTTTAATACCATGATATTTTTTGCGTTTTTTTCCTGGATTTGCCTGTTGTAATGGTTGATCTATGATCATCGGCTGAGCTGGTGATAGCGGTTGATTTGATGCATCGACATTCATGTTTGAAAAAATAAAATTGAATATGAAAAAAATCTAAAAACAAATGACAAAACCTAACATGTAAGTAAGAGATTTTCAACTAAATAAATAAAGAACAATGAGAATAAGAATTAAGACAAATGAATAAGGAAATAGTTTCATGTTTATGATTGACAAGAAAATTGTTCAAGTTTAAAATCATGAACACATTTGAGTCGTTCTTCAATAAGATGGGCACGTTGCACGATTATTTCAATCATTTTCGTAGTTAATTTTTGTTCATCTGGCAGTAATTGTTGGTCTTCTGTAATTTTTTTCATTCTATCATTATATCCATTTTGATAACGCATCTGTTGACTTATAGCTGACTGAGTATAGAGAGTGAGCATATCTGTTTTTGTTTGTTCAATTATTTGTCTATATTGAGCATAGAATTGTTGTTGAATATCGGCATTACCAATCGAATCAAATAAAGGAAAACGAGCGATTGGTAAATGTTCAAAATTATATGATGCATTGTAACGAATAAGTTGTTTATCGAGAAGTTCGGATGTATATTTGCTCAGTTCTTCTTGTTGTTTAGCAGTACAGAGTTCTTCAGCTAATTTTATCTAGTAAGAGAGAAAGAGAGAAAAAAAAACGAAATGGAACAGAATAGATTAATCGTTATGAGATTTTTGATGATCTTACTTGAGCTTCATTTGGATTCTGTTTAAGATATTCGTGTTTTATGATTTCTTCCTTATATTCAAAGTAAACCAATTGTATTTTATGTTGAATTTTCTTCCGTAGACTAAGAAGATTTTCTTCGATGAATTTCTCTAATGGTTGTTGAATTATGTTTGCTTGATGAGATAAATGATTTAATTGAACTTGTAGATCAGTATGATATTCTTGTTTAGATTTATCTAATTGAGCAAGACGATTCTTCACATAGGCTAAACATGCATCATTCTTTTCGAGACCTGAACGAACAGCCACTTTGACCATGGACTGAACAGGCTTTACCCATACATGTGGACCTGATTCATTTGGAAAATTATCACACTTTAATTGACCCAAGCCCGATTGTAAATAGACTTTCCAAAGAGAATATAAAATCTCTATATATTTGATTCGATGAATCGAAATAGCTATTTGTCGATATTTTTCTAAGTTGTCGGATGATGATGCTACCGCTGTTGTTATTTTGTTAGATAAAATTGAATTAATCATTTTTTCAAATGATTTATTACTTTTAGTAAGATACTTCAGCGTTTCTCTTAGTTGATCTGATTTAATCTTTTTTGGTAGCTTCTTTTCCGACTCTATTTTTGATTCTTTTTGCCGGGAAGTTGACAGTTGACTCAATTTCTGTGATAGAACATGTTCTTCGATCGGCTGCAAAAAAGACAAAACAAATTCATAAATGAAAAAGATGAAGCAACTAGATTCTACTTTGATTTTGTTGCCAGTTGGAGACTTTCTCAATATATCTGTGGATATGACATCTTCTATTTCCATCTTGTTATGATCTTCGTCATCACTATCCGTATCTAATTCATTGTCGTCGACGGCTCGTTCTCTAGCATAAATATTATCTAAGTCATAATCTTGTTTTACTAGATGATTGGCATCTTCATCATCGTCATTATTAATATGATTATTATCACATGCATCAAGATCATTAAATATTGCCGTAGCAGACAAATGAAAATTTCCACACTATGAAATAAATATTGGTACAAAATTATATGTAGGGCATGAAAAAGTGCGTCTTACTTGATTCACATCAAAATTGTCATTGTCATAGGAATTTGTTTTGAAATTGTTTGATGATCTTGCCATGATTTACTCTACTGAAAGTATGTAAACGAGTTAATCTAGAATTTAATAAGTATCTAAAAAAAATAACAAACATAATAGAATTATAACACTGCAGTGAACATGAGCAATAATCTTTAAAGAGGTACAATATAACTTTAAACAAAAGTTGTTCTTTTGTGTACTAAAAAAGTGAGTATACTTTAGAATCGGTCGGTGTATCCGTCCGGCTGTTTACACGATAACCTTTGAAAGGAGAGTTCGATCGCGATGAAATTTTCTACACAGTTCAGTCTTAACAATATCTTGGTCGAGTTCGAAGATGAGAAGGATTGGCCGAGCCCTTCCTGAGTTATTGCAAAAATACTCATTTTTCCCTATACCTTCCCTATGGATCGATCGACCCATTCCTGCTTTCGTAAACAACTTTTCCTATCATACTCAAATAAAACCCCAACTATTATATACCATTCGATAGAGAATTTCAAGAGCTACAAAATGGTATATAAAACATAAAGAAACAAGAAGGTTGACTAACCTATCACAAAGATAATTAAAGAGAACCAGATTATGTTTTTGTCCAAGATCTAATTGATCCACGTTTAGAGCTCTATCTTCCGATCACAGAGATGATAGTTCGAGGTTTTCTGGGATGGAGAACTCGAATCTATGCTCCATTCGCCTCGAAATCCCATCGGTTGAACAGTAACCAATAGAAATTAAGTTATAAGAAAAACGACTTTCTTAGGGTAAATCAAGGTGAAGAGTTCAAATCTTCTCTGTATTCACCTCAAATCCTATTGGTTGAGCAGTAGCCAATAGAAATGAAGTGTTTATAGATAAGGTTTGCTAGCATAATTTTTATATCTCCACATTCTAGAACGACTCATCTATCTCATTCACTTTTCTTCAGTACACATAACTCTCGGATTTAAATCCGAGGTTTCCACATTTATTGTAATTCAACTTGGTTTTGTTTCATTTATCATGGATAATGCATATTTAAACCATTTTGGAATTATTTCTTCTTTTACTTCTTCATCATGATTTGATATTGATTCAGATTCTTCTAACAAATAAATATTTATTTTAAATATCAAAAATAGTATTTATTAAACAAACCATCATCGCCACTAATTGTTGTCATTTTCTCGACTTCGCTTTCTTCCTATAAATATCAAATTCAGATATATAAAAGATTACAAGAAAAAACTACTTTATCCAATGGTATTGATGTAGATTTTGATATATATTCAGATATATCAATATGAGCATATTCACCCTAAAATAAATCAAAACATCTCTTCATTTATCAATGTTCATTACGAATCATAAAAAGGTGTAACCTCTGATTTTTTGTATAATATATAACAGTAATGACACAAATATCTGATGTTACTTCCCTTCACAAAAAGGATACTCAAAGAAAATCAATTTTTATCAGATGTTCAAAAATGAATCTGTACCTTTCAAATAATTGAAAATAACGGAACAATTTATTAACACTTATTACTCTTTAGTAGACACATGTTGGAACAATGCTTTTTTTTTTCTACTAGCTGATTTAATAAATATTAAAAATATGAACAAGTTGAATTTCAATCAATGAACGCTCATCCAGTGAAACTTTCTAATTAAAAATAAAGATAACTGCTAAAATCTGTTAGTAATCATCGTTATAACAATCAATATCGATTAGCCAATCGTTTCAACGTTAACTATTTAATCATTAGTCGCACCTTAAATCTACTCTTAGTTTAACATCATATTTCAGTTGATTTGACAAACTTATTATTCAAATATATATCAATATTGTAGATTGAAGACAACTCCGAATTCCAAAAAAAACCTCGTTTGTTCAGCAAGAGTCTAGAGTTTATGAAAAAGAAATAGACATCAATATATATTGTCCTTTTTTTGGAATTTGAATGAAAAGTTTGAACTCGTTACGAGAGTGTTTATCTTTGCTAATATGTCATTGCGTTTCTGAACATTTGATAAAAATAAATTGTATATGATTCGAAAGAGAATAACCTAATCTTATACAGTCAGTTGCAAAGATATAATGTTTGATGTGAAATTTCAAATAAATCTTATTATTTTTCTATGATATGCTCTTTAGATTTAACTTGCAGCCATTGTAGAACAAGTAAATCGATTTTGTTGAGTTGGATTCCAAGCTAATGAACAAACCGCATCTTTCGATGAATAACTTTAAATAAAATAAAAATGAATATCTGTTTTGTTTGGTTTTTCTTACTTCATAAAAATATCAAATGTAAGACGATTAACAATTCATAGTTGACCATTAACATAAGCCACAATAAATAATGTTCGACATGGTGAATACCTAATTAAATTAATAACCTGAAAAGCGAATATTTGTTTTTTTAAATTTAAATTAACAAAAAAAGAAACAAACTTGGTCGATTGAATCATTTTCATAGGCTTTTTTTCTTGTCTATTTATTAGTTTCATAAAATTGAATTGTATTCTTAACTGGAATAGCTAATATCTGTATAAATATTCCAAGTAAAATCATCACTTGAAAAAAAATATCGAAATAAAAATTACTTGATCAGTTTTATCCCAATCAGACTTGACTAACGATGTAACAGTTCTAAATTAACTTAATTAGACAGAAATAAAAATATTCGAATAAGATATTACTCAATATCATTTGATTTCGTGATAACATTTATTTGTTTTATTAAATTTTGTTTATCAATATTAAATATTCGAACATAACCATCACAAGATGATGTTGCGTTTTAAAAATAAAATTTCGTTTATACTGAAAGAAAAGATCAATTTTTTAATCTTACAATTTATAGTTTTTCTTCATAAACATTTAATGAAAGTATTGGTGCTTGATGTCCATCAAAGTATTTTAATTTATTTGAATCATCATTTAAATTCATCATGACTACTTTAGAATCTCTAAAGAAAAATAATTTAGAAAATACAATGAAGAAGTTTTATATTTACTTTGTTCCAATAAAAAGTAAAGAACTTGACAAACAAAGTGCTGATACTGGTTGTGTAAAATGGGCAAGACTTGGAAGAGAATCACCATGAGCATAAAAACAAACTTCAAGTTCATTGCGATTTGTTTCGATAAATATATGATATTCCTTTTTTTTGTTTAATTAAAGAAAAGGTTTTTTTCTATTTTCAAAAGTTTTAAAAGACTTACATGAACAGCAAGACAAAAACATTGATCAGCACAACGTATATGTTCAGTTTGATCTGTTTTTGGATCAAATACATGAATATCTCCACCTTGTCCATATGTTAAAAAATGACTAAAACAATTTTTTTATCGTCTTGAAATATATTAAAACCAAAAAATTCAAACAAAATTGTCAGAGTCAAACAATGATGACAATGAGTAAAGTGAACATCCTTTCAGCCAATCATGTTAAAAAAATGACTAATGATACCTAGCGAAGCTTTTGAATGACTACTTTTATAGAAAACCAAAATTACCATATGATAGAGAAAAATTTTCTCTATCTACTGATACCTAAGATATACTTGGCCCTTCTCAAAATCGGAAAACACCAATCATGCTGAACTGATTATTGCTTATCTTATTTCACTATGCTCGTTTCCGTCAACGTCCGTACCATACTAGATCAAATTGTCTTTGTTATATTTTTGTAGTCAAAATTGTTTATAGTCTATTTGTTGTCTATATAAAAGATTTTTTCTTTTCGTTATTCGTTCATTTCATATTTTCATCAGTTAAACTAAATTCAATTGTGTTAATATTATCATAGAGTCTGAAAATGAATAGAAGAACACATTTGGAAGATTTATCAAATGAAATATTGTTTGAAATATTTGATTATTTACATATGCTTCATATATTTACTGGTTTTGCTTTATTAAATAAACGAATATCAAATATTTTAAAATCAATTCCACTTCATATTGTTATTTCATTTGGAAATTCTCGTCAACAAATTGATTTTCTTTTGTCTCATTTAACTTTTCATGAAGATCAAGTTATTTCAATAAAGGTTTTGGATAAAATTCGTGATCAATCATCTATAATTCATTTATTATTTAATCGACATAATTTTATTAATTTAAAATCATGTAAATTCTTATCAATTCATTCAATCACTAAACTTAATAATATTATTAAACAAATTGCAAATCTTAATAAACTTGTTATACTTGAAATATTTCAACCAGATCGTTCAGATTTAAATGAAAATAATAATGATGAATTAACTCGAATATTATTAACAAATAAATCATCATCTCTTCGTTCACTAAAGCTTCAATATCCTAATCATTATTTAAATATATCAAATTATACATTAATAAATTCACATCTTATATCACTTCATTTACGAATATCTGGTTCATCTTCAACTGTATCTGTTCATACAGTTTTACAAATTTTTCGTCTTTGTTATGGAATACGGTATTTAAGCATTGTATTACAACATGAAAAACGATTTGAAAATAATATTAAGTAAGTTATTACTGCAATAGTTCTATCGGAGAAAAAAAATTTTTTTTTTCATTTCAGTGGTTCAAATCATCTATCACCTATAAATGAAAATGATCTTCCTATATTATCACAGCTAACAAGTTTCAACTTACTCATTGGTGCATCATGTGATATTTGGTCGATTTCTTCTATATTACATTGTATGCCTAATCTTAAACATTTTTATTTTCATCTTATTGTACAAACATCATCATGGCCATTTACTAATCAATATCTTGATGGATATGTATGGCAACAAATATTTGAAAATAATCTTTCATATTTATCAAAATTTGAATTTCATATGACTGTTACAAAAAGAATACCAAAATTAGATTTAGATTTTGTTATTAATTCATTTAATTATTTTGTTGAAAAATATTCTAATTGGCATATGATTATTGATCGATGGATATATGGCTCTCGTCTTCAAGGTAAATAAAATTATTCAAAATAATTAAATTAAGAATATGAAACTAAGTTTTAATTAATATCAAATTTTTATTAAATACATTTTTTTTTAGATGAACTTATTATATTACGAACAAAGAACTATATCAAAGGCAAATTTACTGCAAAAATAAATATTCCTTGTATTCATTGCAGAACATTTGAAACACGAACAACAGAAACAAGAATTGATGATCATTATTCATTTTATTCTGATATAACACGCTTAATATTATATATACAAAATAAAAAATCAAATGTTACTTGGTTTTTTCCTTTATTTCAAAATGTTACTAATCTTCTTGTAGAAATGCCAATAATAAAATCAACATGGTGGAACAGTTTATTTAATATAGGTAAAAATGAAAGATTATCTTTTAATTTGATATAAAATAATTCATTGTATATTATGTACAAATGTATATGATTGCATGTATTTTTTTTTTGATTTAGTTAATGTTCGACAAACAACTAATGATAATAATGCACAAGAAAATCTTACTTACATATCAAAATTTGTTTATTTAACAAATATAACTACATTAGAATTTTCATCAGCATTTCCTGTTAATCGATGGAAAGATATTGAATTTATTTTAAAGTATTGTTTTATATTTTAGTAAAATAATATTAATATATTTTTTGTTGTAGATCATGTCCAAATGTGATTTATCTCATTATTAATACTTCATTATTACTTTTTTCAAAAATAATTAATAATTTATCTCTTATTCCAATTTTCAAACAAATTAAAATGATTAAATCAATTACTAAAGATATTTATTTTCCTTCAAATTTTATATTAAAATTTGTTGAACGTTTTCCTTCACTTGTTCATATTGAACTACAAGTATTTTCTTTTGATATTTGTTCATTTATTATTGAAGGATTTCTTGCTAAATTAGAACAATTATCTTATGTGAAAATTAATTATCATCAAGATACGTTACTTGATGATTATTTTACGCGTGAATATATTATTACAAAACGTGGTCAAGTATTTCCCATTAATAATATGAATCAACAAATGATTAATGTCAAAAATAATGGTCAAATTATTGAAATTTGGTTGTCATAATATGATTTTTTTGTATAGATTTTTATTTGTTAAAAAATAAAATTTTTTTTTGAAACTATAAATTACTTTAAATTAAAGTTTGATTGTAATGTTTCTTTTTTGGATAATTTGATGCTTATAATATACTTCATTTTTAGATGATTGAACCTGAAGAAAATGGTACGCATGTTAATCAGGTAAAATAAAAACTTGAGAAAATTTTTCTCAATAACGTAAATTATGTATTGTTCAATAATTTATTTTTTTAGAATTATTTACAAGAAAATGCATGTGTTCTTGTTACAATTGAGGATGATGAACATGATAATCAATATGGAGCATTATCATCAACGTCGTCATCACGATCAAGTTCAACATCATCATCACCAACAAGGTCATCATCAACATCTTTAGCATCATCAAAATCATTAAAAAGAAAAAGGGTGGGGTGTGGGTGGGGATGTGGGTGTGAGTGTGGGTGTTTTCTTCGTTCATACTCACACCCACCCTCACCCACACCCACACACCCACACCCACCCACACTCACACCCACACCCACACCCCACACCCTATATTTTCTAATTTGACAAAATTTGTTTTCTTCGAAGTTTAAAAGTAAGCAAAAATGAGCACAGAATGCTCACTTGTGGTAAAGAGTCTCTAGA